TTAAAGGATATTTGCACAAAAGCCCTGAAAGCAGGAAGAAGCTTTGTGCTGCCATAGCAACGCATTCCTTACATGCACTTAGCGGTTGTGCTCTTAATGGCATGTACTACCCTAAAAATCTGTATGAATAACCATTTTTTCAATCTACCTTTCAGGGTGACATGGCCTCTTGCTAGCTTGATGTGCCCACTTTCTTCTTCACAAGTCAGCATGCCCAACTCTTTCATGTAATGGCCAGGAGTGTCATGTTAATTTCAGGCCTGTAATGGCATATCTGACCCGTTTTTTTTCTGAACTTAATGAATAAGCAACCAACAATGTAGATTACTTTCTTAAAAACAAAACATATGACTTTATTGCACATACTTCCAATGACATTTGATGAAACGTCCCTTTGCATGTCTCAGAGAAGACGGTTTTCTTCATCGAATGACAAGATACCAGCAGAATTCTGACTGGTATCCAATTTTCTTTTCAGAATCAGTGGTTTATTAAAATCTTGCAATGGAGACAAGAGACAGTTTCAGAGGTGAGGTAGACGTGGTGGACTTAGTTTGAAGTGAGAGAATTGATTTAATGATAAGTGACAAAATACACAATCCACGTAGCACAGGCAAGGAGCTCAGACGCTGGTATCAACTGGCTGAAGACAACTGACAAAAGACAAGGACCCAACAGGGAATCACAAACACAGGTGGGACTAAATACACAACGGAGTAATCAAGGGGCAACAAGAGACAGCTGGAGACAATCAAGGGGTAGGTGGGAGACTCAACTGAACACAGAAACCTAAATTAGCTCGCAGAAAAACCAAATCTTCACAAAAAGTCCACAAACTACCAGTAGGATTGAGGGTGGAGCTTTTCCACAAGCTTAATATTAGCTTGTCTTATGTCTCTTTCAGGCATGGAACAACGTATTGTGTGAACTGGTTAGTTTTAAATGAAAAGTTTTGGTCGTAGTCCCGCTTCTCATTATGCCGCAGTACAAGAGAATTCAGGTAGCAGGCAGGATCATCTACAGCACTTGTGCTCCACACTTCTGGTGTCATTTCTTTTTCTTCTTCTGCTACTCTACCAACGGCTTCTCTCAAAATCTCTGATGATTCTGCAATAGTTGGCTTCATTTTTGATGGTGACAACAACAGATATAGTAAGCTGACTCTGGACTTTGTGACTCTTGCAATCAGCTCCTTCAGTGGTAAGACTGTGGGAAGGGGAGATTCACCAGGGGCCTCATCTATAAAGCATGCATACGCACAAAAAAAGTGGGGCGCCATATTATATGTACAAGTTGGAATGGCATGGAAGTTTGTGTAAATATATGCAAACTTTACCTGCTGTGAAATTGTGCGCCATTCACGCAAGCTTTCTTTGTGGACAATAACAAACGAGAAGGTGCCACAACTAACCGAAGTACACTGAAAAATGACTTCATTCAGTGTTATTTAGACCAAGAAGTATAGAAACTGTTTTTTTATGACTTTAATCTTTTATTGCTTAAGCATACACAATGAAACGGGACTACATTTAACCTCAGACAATAACATAGCACACGCACAAACAAAATAAATTAAAATAAAAGGATGTGAAAACCTCACTTGAATGTAAATGGTAAATTTTCTCAGTTTTTGTCGCATAAAGATGCAACGCATTGGATTGGTCTCTGTGCTGAAGCATATAAAATGAATGTTATCTGTGGGGTGAAATAGGGTTGGATCAGATCCCCCCTCCTGGATCTGCATGAAATGGTTTGTTCCTGCTTGGACCACTTGACAAAGCAGCAGTCCAGTAGAAGACCAGCATGACTGAGGCCATTACTATGCTGCTAAAAAAAATAAAGTTAGTGTGGCAGGAAGAAGGTGGAGGCTGCACCTGCTGGCAGGGTGATTGCAAGTGAGCCAATGGCGCCAGAGGGCGCTCAGTGTAAAAGCAGAGGTGAGCTGCAGACCGACACTTGTTTGCTGTTGACACGTCGCGCGCCGCGCTTCGTGTTGAGCGGTCTGTGTGCCGAGTACAGAAACGGACGGGCGTATTTACCTCCACGTTTGATCGTGGGTGAAGTGGTTCCTGTAATAAGTGCCAACATTTGTTAGCGTTCCCATTTGGGTGCAAGTGTGGAGAGCTTGGCCTGATCGGAATCTCGACTGATTGCCACACATAACGCTGCTGTTTGCCCGGACTGAGTCACCGCTTACTTGGCGGTCAAGAGAGAGACCGGCGTGTGGGACACGCCCCCTCACCCCCAAGACCAGAACAAGGAGCGGCTGCGCGCTCCGTTTCGGGCTGGATTGCTCGTTTTGCCGTGCTTGTAGAGCACAAGGACTCTTTTATTATTTTATTTACACTCATATTTTTATATATCTTTTACTGCCTATCTTAATTTGTTTATTTTTATTTTCTTCAGAGGACCGCCGGTGGTACGCTCGGACCTGGATGTGGCGTCCCTGTTTGGTGTGATTGTGCAGTGATTAACACAAATAGGTGAAGGGCATTTCAGAGTGAGTGACTTCACGGGTGTTTTTGATTTGTTTTGGAGCCTACACCCAGGACCTGGTCGTACCCACCGGTAAGCATAGTTGGCTTTATTTTGTGTATTTTCTTTTTTTTTGTTTTTTGTTTATGTACAGGTATTTTTATTTTGTAATAATAAATTATTATTGACTTGAAACCTGTCTCCTGCTGATTGCAAAACCGGACCTGTGTCCTTTCGTTAATTCCTGGGTGATAGCCCCAGGTGGCGTTGTTGGCAACAAACTAAATTAATTGTATGGTCAAAAACACTGAATGCCACATTAGGTTTTCAAAAAATAGAGAGAAAAAGGTAAAAGTGTCAATTTGTAATCCACTTTTTCTCAGAGAGGTGGAGACTGTGTGAGATTACCAACCATTCAGCATAGTTAGCTTAGCTATAAACTATTGTTTGCCTCCATTTCACTAACATTTAGTGAATTAAGGAAAGAAATTACCAACATATTCATATATTGAACTTGTACCTGTACCTTTTACCACATTTAGATGCGTCAGTCAGCAGCAGCTGTAACCCACGTCCCTCCTGACCTGCCCTCTAACTGAAAATAAAGCTGCAGTATGTATCTTTTATAAATTTTTTTTTACATGTTTGTTAAAACTGTCATTATGTTGTGACAGTATGACATGAGAGCACTAGCAGAACAAGTCAGAGTCGGGCCGGGGGGCGGGGCTAATGACCGGGCCCTTTATACCCAAATAGTAAAGCTCATGATAATTTAACTTTACAACATAGACATGCCTGCAAAAGCTGAGCTCGCAAGTTTCACCACCACAGAGAGCGACTATGTCACCCTGAAATCCATCAGACAGGAAGTACAACAAACCAAAAGAACAACAGAAACATCAGGCTACTGGTGATGAAACAACACAAATTCAAATCGCATGCGCAGCGCGTGCACCTCTGGATCTTTGGCTGCATTCACACGGTAGCCTGAAGTGACCCAATTCAGATTTTTTTTTGATGTAATGTGACCTGTATCCGATGTTTTCATGACAGTCTGAACAGCACAGGTCGAATTCTTTCTGAATGCGACCCATAGCCGATACATTTCCGATTCAAATGCGACCTAACCTCCAGGTCGGATTCACCTGAGTTGAACGTCACTGATACTCAACAAATCTCACTATTCACGTAAGCGGGAAGAAAAACAACAATCATGACGGATTATAATGAGGATTAAGTTGTTAATATGCTGCTCCGGTCGGACAACTTCAAATGTGTAAAGCCCAGTTCACACTACACGATTTTAGAATTTTCAAAATCTGAGAGACCACACACTAGCCGACAAAAATCTTAGGTATACTGGTTCGATCGTGCAGTGTGTGGTGTCCAGTCACACGGCAAGGGCACATGAGCTGATTTCTCTCAGTGACATTCAGATTCCAGACAAAAACCCACGAATATCATATGTGATTTTACGTAACAAAATGAAAAGGCATTGGATAAATAGTGGATAAAAAAGCCGCAGCAAATAGAGTGGCGTCTCTATTTGCTGCACAAAGCTATGGAGGCAAGTTGTGTTTTTTCGTTTTTACCATTTGTGTGTTTAGATTGTTTTCTGTTAGGAAATACTAATTAACTGAAGCTTAAACGATTTGTTTTAATGTTTACAATTACATTGAGGCACAAAATAATGGCTACAAGTCCAGTTAACTAATTTTAAAACCAGGCATTAATCAATGTTTTACTAGTTACAATTTACCTGTAATACGTGGCTAGCGTTGGCGTCAAGTCCTGACTGAATGAATAACCTATTATTATAACCTATTTATGTCACGTTAACGATGAACAGCTGAAAAGTTACCGGATTTATCAACTGCGGTAGCAGCTACGCTCCAACTCCTCTTCTTGTCATTTCTGTGGCTATTTTTGCACGAAATGTTGAATGAACAGTCATGTTGTTTCCACATGTCATCTCCGATGTCCACTGATGTCCGTGCTTTCTGATTGGCTACCTGTCACATTCAACAGGCTGCGTTCTCGCTCCCAGATGAGAAAACGACACACTACTTCCGCAAACACAAAGCACTTCTTTTTATGGCAATTGGAAGCATAGACATAATATAAGGATAGACCCTCATGGACCGCTCTCGCCTATTGTCGNCCGAGGATTTCTGTCGGCCAATGGTTTTGAAAATGGGCCGACAACTCGTGTAGTGTGAGCTGGACATTACACTAAGGAAATAAGGAAGGGAGGGTCAGTGGAGAGCACCGGAGCTGAGTCTTTTTTCATTCAGTGTCATCAAGAGGAAGAAAAAAGGCAGGAAGAGACGATAAAGCTGATAATTAAAATGAGGTCGATAGGTTTAATTTATTGTGCGATTAATTGATTTATCGTTTATCGCGACAGGCCTATTCACGACTGCAAGTTCCTCAAGAAGATTGTCTGGTCTCTCCAACCACTGCTGCCGATGAACTGCTCCTCCTTCCACTAACCGTGCCGTTACCTGTCCGCCCTCCTACGCAAGCCTCTGCTGTCTGCTCCCAGTGATCACGCTGCTCCATCGATCATATGAGCCTGGACCATTTCGTGCTCTACCCACAAAGGTACCAAGCCCCAGTGACTACAGTGTTCTACCCCACCCGTGGATTCTCAGTAAACATAAATTTCAAGCTGACAACTCTTTTTACCTGCTTCCAGTGCTTCAATAAACCCAGTCCACCAGCCTCAGGACAAGAAACACACATTTATTCAGATTATCATCTGTTCAAAATAAACTTTTTTTTTCCCCTCCTCTCAGTCTCCTGAATGTGTTCTGTATGTGAGTCACACACTTGGCTCCCAACATGACAAAAACAGTTGCATATAACCAGCAACATCAAAATTTCATTCTGTAGAGTGCAGGTCTGGACATCATCACTAGCCCAGACATCTGCTCTGTCTTCTCTTCCTCCTTTTCATTTGTCTTGCCAAGTGACATCATTGTATAATTTAACAATGACTGAACAATCAGTTTTGAAGTTATGAGAACATGCCACTATAGGTTTAGTTCTGCAGGATTAACTTTACTAAGTCTAAGTTTCAGCAGGAAAATGGTTGCTAACATTGTCAAAATCAACATGGATGTCAGCAAATTCACCTGGACAGCTCTAAAATTAATTTATTCAGAACATGATGCATTACTAATTTATCTGGCTAAAAACAAAGGTTTAAATGTTTCAATCTATTGAACTACAGGGACACATACGGGTATTTTGTCAAGTTATGTTTTGTACTTTTATTGATTTAAAACGTTTTTCATTGGAAAGTTGAGACACAAATGTTAATACGGGAAGGTTAGAAAAGAAAGAAAATATTGGTATTTTATGGCCAAACACAAAATAGTTCATTTTGAACAGGAGGAAAAAAGATGGATAGTGCAAGTGTGGTGCAGATAACCTCTGCTGAGTCTTTCCATAAAGCTATTACTACTTTGTAGAACTAACTTTTTTTTTTTAACAGCAATAAGTTTTTAGCGCTCTGCTATTTCAGGCACAGTCAGGTTGGAGTGCATTTAAATTCTGGCCACATATTTTCTGCTGAAATTAGGTCTGGCCTTTGACTAGGGCATTATAACTTATGAATACTCAACTAAGCTGTTCCATTGTAGCTCTGGTTGAGGGTTGTCATATGGCAAGATGAACTACACTAGTCTCTAGTTTTTGCAGGTTCTAATGCATTTTCTCCTTAAATTCCTCTGTATTTAGATCCATCAACTCTGATCTGTTTCAGAAAGAGCAGGAGCTTTTAAAGAGACAGTTCCGATTTCAAGGCGTTAAATTAGGAAGCAAAATTTCTTATAAGTCATTTTTGATTAATTTATCTTATAACTGAAGATAACATAGTTCCTTGACTGTGCTATATAATCTCACTATGTGCCTGGAAAATACATAATACTGCCTCTTTAAGGGATTTTCCTGGCTCTAGTGAGTGGACAGGAAAGTAGGTTGTGAAAGAGAGAGAGAGGGAAGACATTCAGCAAAGGTCAACAGCTCGTCCCAACCTGTGACAGCCGCATAGAGGACTGAGGCCTCTGGGTCTGTACATGGATCACGTGCTTCACTCCTGTGCCACTGCCACACCCAGAAGAAGTTAAATCTTTCCCCAGTATGATAACATATGAAGATGAGGAATATAAAGAACACAGCCAAATTGAAAGCAGGTGAAGAAAAATACATAAAATCTGCCATAGTCTGTCCTTCATGTCGTATGTTTGTCTGTCTCAAGGACTCCCCACAGAGGCAGAACTATCAGCAGCCACAGGAAGGTCGGAGTCTGGTAGAGCTGCGGGCCTGGGGTTCCAGAACAGATCTTCAGTTTGTCTGAGGGGAGAGACAGAAAGTAAAGAAGACCCAGGTTATGTACGTCTGATCAGTTCTACAGAGGTTACAAATTACAGATGACTGCACTGTAAAACCATGCGGACAAATGAGGAACCATCACTGTTCACTGAGACTTAGGGTCTCTAACCCTAAGCGAACTGCCTGCCTCACCTCGAGTCTGTTCTCTGCCGTTTCTGATCGCTCCTCCACACACAAAACACGATACACACACAGTTGGTGACAAAAAAAAAACACTGTACATTATATACATAAGCTAAATTATGGAAAATCAGTCCATATATTAAATGTTTTTTAGCCATTTTATTGCCGGCATACAGACAGGATGAACATGTTCCCATAGAATGGCAGCCAGTGCAGTTAGAGAGGTTGCGCAATCACAGGTGAGACTCAGCTTCCTGCTGCCTCACCGGCTTCGGCTCTGAGCATTTGAATGGGAAAATGCGAAAATCCAGTGATTTTGAAGAAAAAATAATCAGAATTGGTTAATCTAAGTAAAAAATAGATACTTTATAGTACAAACCACAGGGTGAAAATAGCAATATAAATAATTTTATATTATTTTTCCATGATGACAGGTGAGGCTCTGCCTCACCTGCCTCCCCTGACCACATGTCACTGGGTAGTTTCTGAACGGTAACTGTAACAGTAAAAGTGCTGATCCTTCGTGTTGCTACTAGCATGAACTAAATAAAAATAGACGCTTTCTTCTTCTTCTCCTCCTCCTTTAGATTTCAACAGCAGCTTGCATCAATTATTGTTGCACTACTGCCATCTACAGGATCCTAATATCTGTACCTCAAATTCTCATAATAATCCCAGTATTATTTAAAATAAATGAAAAATCTTCTTTTTCCCCTCAATGCTATTTAACTGAACAACAACATTCTCAAATTTCAATTCCCTATTAAAACCTAATTCCATTTTAATGGGCGCTTTCTTCTTTTATTTCCAGTTTTGACTTCCAATGATTCACTTCCTGCTAAAGAGCCCCCTGGTGGTTGAAGAAAAATCCACACATAAGCCGCAAGGTTCAAAGCTTAGGAACAAAGTAGCAGCTTATAGTCCGGAAAATACGGTAAATGAAAAAAAATCTCTCTGGTATTGTTCAGGGGACCGGAACAAATATAGAGGCGAGCCGGATCCGGCCCGCGGGCCGTAGTTTGGGGACCACTGCCTTACATGGTCATGAATGACAGAGCAAAGACACGCCTCCTGGCTCTGATTGGTTGCTTTGGTTCAGGAGCTGTGTATTTTCCTAAATGTTATAAGGGACTCAGGAAGAGGCACAGGGATTTGTTCTTTTTTCAAATATTATCTCTCTCATCTTCTGTTTTCAGGACATAGTGAGATTTTTCCACATATATGAAAATTATATAGCTTCAAAAAAGTTACATACTGCAGCTTTAATGCAAGTCATCCTCACCAAGGCTGAGCAAGAAAACATGGCATTTTACCTTGTTGATTCACAACACTGATCAACAGCCAGAAAGTTGTCTAAGGTTTTTCAGCTGCACAGTTATGATGAGCTGAATCCAAAAGTCAAATTGGTTTTGCTCCATCAGATCAACTTTCTGAACTATGGAGCAACATGAGCATCAAAATGCATGACTTGTTCTCGCATCTGGATCAATGAGTGATGAGCAAGAGGAGAGATTCCATCAGGACAGAAAAGAGAAGGAGAATTTTACACAATGAAGACATAATGTTCAATTCACATGTATTTGATTATTATTCAATTTACAGAAATCCAAGTTTGTAACATTTAATTGATCCACTTTGTTGAAAAACAATTTTTTTCCTCCTTAAACCTTTTTGGATCAGTAATATTAACAGAAATGAACTGATGATGTCACAAAAATGTCATCAATTTAGTCAGAAGACCACATTTTTCTAAATCAAATTAGAATAAAAACCTGACCTGATTGAGAAAAATGGATGTCATTTTTGGATTCAGTGATGCAAAATAGTCATAATTCAGTTGAAAAAACATCAACAAATTCCAAAAATGTTGTTTGTAACCCAGTGTTATATTTGCTTAAAAAGCTCATCATTTTGTGCAGAACTATGAGATGGAATTAATGTCAAATACTAACATTTCACTTCCGTTGCATTGCTGCCTGTCAGCACTGTTTTATTTTCCGTTCTCTTCTGTCTCGTCAGTATGCAGGTGTAGTTCATTGGACTGGTTGGGACCGGCGTGTGGGTGAACTCCTGGCATGAACCATCATTTGACTTTCCCAGGTGAGACCCGTTTGAGTAGAAATCACAGCTGAAGGATGGAGATCCCTCACATTTAGGATAGTAACACTTCAACCTTCAAAAGAATAATTAAAAAAATATGAATCATTTGAGAATATTTATAATTAAATGTCATTAAGTGTCAATAACGTATTCAAACCTTAAGGTGTTGTTCATGAGGCAGACAGAGAAGATGCCAAAATCCCCTTGCTTTTGGGAAGAGACTGAGGCTAGAGTCAGATAGTTAGTTGCCATGATGTCAGAAATATCAACCAATTTCAGCCAATTGAGCTAGATTCACAACATGCTCACTCCTAATTGGTTTGTCAAAAGCATTTTTAGACCACAAGTTATAGGGAAAGTTGTTTTTTGTTGAAATTGGGTTCAGATAAGAGACCATGAGCAGTCAAAATCCTATTGGTAGTGGGTAAAGGGGCGGTATTATGTGTGTTTTGCATGGCTGAATGGTTGCCATGGGAGATTACAGGATTCCTGAAACATGCATGAAAGCATCAAGGCAAGACTCCATGTATGTTTTGATGAGGGGATAACAGTATGACATGATGCAAAGCTAAAAAAAAGTCAATTTTACAGAATACTGCCCCTTTCACTCTCTTAACATCTTTGCTTTAATAAAACAGTGATTGATATGAAAGCTCGTCGAGACATTTTTAAAAGACACCGGTCTTCAAAAGAGAATAATGGAGCCAATGAATACCTTTTGATAAAAAATAATTATATTCTGATTATAACAGGAAACCAGTGAATGGAAGCTAAGATTGGGGAAATATGAGCTCTGTTTGCAAGTTTTATCAGAACTCCTGCTGCAGGATTTTGGATCAGCTGAAGGCTTTTAGCTTCATTTTCCTGATTATAAAGAATTACAGCAGTCCAGCCTTGACATATCAAACGCATGAACCAGTTTTTCAGCATCCCTCCCAAACAGGATATTTTCTAATTTTGGCAGTATTCTGTAGGTGAATAGTCCTGAACTAAGCAGTTTGTCTCTTGTTCAGAGGTAATTTCTTTTTGTGTAAATTAAAGAAAGAGAAAACTTAGTTATATTGTCAAAACACACCTGTCAGTCTGCTTAACTGAATGAGTTAATCTGTTTTTATGATTAGATATCAGCATATCAATGGAAATTTATCATATGCTGTTCAATAATTATACCAACAGGAAACATTTATAGCCAAGAGAATTGTTCCAGTCACAGAGCCCTGTGGTACTCCACATGTAACCCTGGAGTGTGCAGATTTATTGTTGACATGAACAAAGTGGAATCTGTTGGAAGGACTGGACTTAAACAGGCCTGGTGGTGATCTCAAGCCTTTCTCAGAGAATATTGTGGTCAGCTGTGCAAAAAGCAGCACTTAGATCGAGCAAGACAAGAACAAACACAAGTCCATTATCTGAGACCAAGAGAATGTCATTAGTGACTTTCATCAGTGCTCTTGGGCTTTAAATCAATCAATCAAGTTTGTTTGTGTAGCATATTTCAGCCACAAGGCAGGTCAAAGTGCTTTATATCACGAAAAACAGATCACTATGAGCTGTTTGTCCTGATGACATAAATAAGTATGCTCACATACTTAAGCAGCAACTAGGTTAAAAAAATAATGAATTTTAGAAAGGAAAGCATGATTAGATATAAATATATAATTTGGAGAGAAGGTTTCTGTGAGCCAAAATAAATCATTTTGATTATCAGAAACTTGAGTATTTGTTTTGTTAGACTGACAGAAGAAAAATCCAA